TAAAGGCATTTTCTCATTAGAAAATTTATGGGTACATTGAGCTTAGGAACATATAAAAATGTGATACACTTAAGTAAAAATTCAGTTATTTCACTCAGTTTGAACCACAAGAATAAACAGACAAAAGAAGAAACAAAACTTCTAACAAATTCCCTCAAAGATTACAAAAATCAGTGCATCTCAAAATATTACTGATATTAAATGACAAACCTATGCTGCCTTCAAATGGAAGTGCTATCCAAGTCACCTACCCATAGCAACATTACTGCTCTTTGAGGACATAAGTTAATGCAATATGTTTTCTACTCGTGCAGCACTATCCCATTTTCTCATTACAGTAAGATGATAAGCCGGAATTAGTTGAACAAAAGGCATCACTTCATTCAGTTTCAAAGATGATTAATCTAACAAGACAGCTTGTACCTAGTAAACTAGGTATAAGCAAATGCAGAGCAAAACCAAGGAAAGCAAAAGGATATTCACTGTGTAACTCTGTGGCTTTTCTATGAATTGGATTATCAGTGCCACTATGAGTTAAGATGTTGTTACAGACAGTATTCCAACAAACTGGGCTTCTGCTTTTTCATCTTTCCATTTTACTAGTAAAGTGCCTTCTGCATCAGCAGACATTATACTGTAAGACAGCTGTTTCAATTTCAAATGCTTTAATACTGTGATTAAGTGAGAACCATATGTATTACTTACTGTTTAACATCCCTTGAAATAATGTCATTGTAGATTTGGTCAGATACATGTTCTCTGCACTCATGACCAAATAACCCATCCACAGCCATGATTTTTTTTTATTCTAGATGCCAATTTAAGTCCTGTGTACTTACCACAGAAACTGCACGAACAAAAAGGTTATCCCCCCCCCCCCCACCCCAAAACCCTTAGTCAAACTACTATGGGCACCTACTGTATTCACACCACTAAAAAATATTCAAGATGTCGATGAAAAAGCTTACTACCTTTCAGAATATGATCTCATTTCAAAATATGACCTATTGGGTATTCAGCTGGTTCTTCTAAACAAA